GAGTTTAGCCATGTTATATCATTACTTCCAGATAGTGCACCAGTTAGTTCTAGACCTTATATGTACTCACCTCTTTTGAAGGATGAGATTGAGAGACAAGTAGCTGAAATGATTGCAACATGCATTGTCAAACCTAGCATGTCTTCTTATGCATCACCTCTTTTGTTGGTTAAAAAGAAGCATGGAACATGGATGATTTGTGTAGATTACAAAAGGCTTATTGCAGTGACTATCAAAAGCAAATTTCCTATGCCAATAGTTGATGAACTTTTGGATGAACTATTTGGTACAAAGTGGTTCTCTAAGTTGGGTCATAGAGCAGGTTATCATCAGATAAGGATGGTGGAAACAGATGAAAACAAAACTACTTTCAAAACACATCCATGGCAATATCAACTCAGTGTCATGCCTTTTGGACTTACCAACGCACCTGCAATATTTTAGTGCGTGATGAATGCAGTATTTGTAAGGAAAATCAGAAAATCAGTATTGATTTTTGTGGATGATATATTGGTTTATAACAAGTCTCTTCAGGCCCACCAGCAACATCTATAGTAGGTGTTTGCTATTTTGAGAAAGAAGCAGTTATATGCCAGGCTCACAAATGCTCTTTTGTCAACAACAGTTGGAATATTTTGGTCATACCATGTCATTTAAGTGAGTTGCTACTAATCCTACAAAAACCGATGTCATGCTCAAATGGTCGGCTCCAACTTCAGTTACTGAGCTTGGGGCATTTTCAGGTCTGGCTGGACATTATAGGAAATTTTGTGCAAAACTACGGAATTATTGTTAAACCACCGACACAACTTCTGAAGAATAAAGCCTTTATGTGGTATCCTATAGCTCAAATATCTTTCGAGCAATTGAAATAAGCCAGGGCAACAACTCCGCTAATGGTCCTCCCTGACCTTAGCAAACTTTTTTGTATTGAAACAAATGCCTATGATACTTGCATTGGAGCAGTGCTCAGCCAAGAAGGACATCCATCTAATCATAAAGTGAGGATTTATGAAATGGACTTTATGGCCATTACTATGGTAGTGAATAGGCCTTAGAGGTCCTTTTGTTATAAAAACATGTCACAAAAGCCTTTGTTAGCTGGGCAGTTAAGAATTAATTACTGATTTAAAAAGAAAGGCCATGCGAAAATTAGTGGTCTTGTAGTTCACTTTTCAGTATAAAAAGATTCTAAAAATAAGGCAACATATGCACTTTCTAGAGTGGGGCATGTGTTTGCTTTACTAACAGTTTCTTCAACTCAACCAGTTTGGATAGAAGAAATTATGAACTCTTATGAGATTGGCACTCATGCTCATCAATAGCTTCGTAAACTTGTAATGAACCCTGATTAAGAGTCTGAATATTCTTTGGAAATGGTCTTCTGAAAAATCTAGGCTGGATTTTGGTAGATGTAAATCCCGGCCTTCAGGAAAAAATCATTGAAGCATTACAATCATCTGAAGTGGGGGGGGGGCATTTTCTGGAAGCCAAGCAACTTACGAAAGACTTCAGAAACTATTTCAGTGGGTAGGGATTAAAACTATAGTTAATTTTTTTATAACTTTGTTCAATTGTGTTAGATTTTTTAACAACCAAAACATGAGAATTACAAGTATCCTCGATTGTTGCATCCTCAACATATTCCCAAAGGACATGGGAAGCCATTTCTATAGATTTTATCAAAGGGTTGCCCGAGTCTGCTGAGTATTTTTTCTATACTTGTTGTGGTGGACAAATACACCAAGTAGAGTCCCTTTATACCGTTGAAATACCCCTTTAGTGTTGCACATATATCACATTCCGTTTTTACTGACCATTGTCAAGTTACATGGTATGCCATACAGTATTACCTCAGATAGAGAAAAAATATTTACTAGCAATTTTTGGATGGAATTATTCAAATTGCGGGTCACCAAGCTTTATAGGTTTACTACCTCCGTCCTGGTTTATAGGTCCCCTTTGTAGTTTGTGCCAAATTTTGACTAAAGATTTAACTAACAAAATATAAATGCATGTCAAGAAAAATTATCTCATTGGATTCGTATTTGAACATAGTTCTCAAAAATATAATGTTTGGTGACATGCGCGAACATTTTGTTAGTTTAATCTATGGTCAAAATTTGACACAAAATACAATGGGGACCAATAAAACCGGACGGAGGTAGTACTACTTATCATCCTCAATCAGATGGTTAGACTGACAGAGTTAGCCGATGTTTGGAAATGTATTTGAGGTGTGATGTACATGACACTCTCAAACAGTGGGCTCAATGGTTACTCTAAGCAGAATTCTGGTATAATACAACCTTTCATTCTTCACTAGGGTGTACTCCTTTGAAGGCCATCTATGGGCATGAGCCTATTTTGGGGCAATTAATTGCCACAACCCCTCCATGATGCACATGCCGAGTTGAAAAATTGGCTGCAAAAGAGTTTGTTGAAATCTGATGTTGATAAGAATATAACATTCAGAGCGTTTGTCATGGGAGGTTCACTATATCTGAAACTTCAACCCTATGTCGAGACTTATGTAGTCAACAAACCTTTTCCCAAATCTCTCCATGAAGTTCTTTAGACCCTTTACCATTCTAGAAAGAATTGGTCTAGCTCCCTATCGATTGGCGTTACCAGCTACAAGCCTGGTTCACCCTGTGTGCCATGTTTCTCAACTTAACACCTATGTTTCAAACCACAGTCTAGTATTCACCAATGTGACTTTACCCCCATTGTTAAACATACATGATGTCATTCCAGAAGAAGTCCCGAAGAGAAGGCCGATCAAGAAACGCAAAGGATCCTTGCTACAAGTGCTCACTCATCGGTCTAATTTACCTGCAGGATCTGCTACTTGGGAAAGCCAAGATACTGTCCGACTGTTTTCATCACTGCTACCCTGAAAGGGGTTCGGAGCTGGAAGACCTTTAGTTTCCTTTTTTTGAAAAACACCTGTAACTTTATTCATACTCATAACAATTACAAGTATGCCGACTTGAATTTAGGATCCAAGAAAATGCAAAGTAACTCCTATGACTAAGGATTACGATGAATTCCCTTGGAAACACATTCTTCGTGGTATCAATCTCCACTACAAGATATACTCTAGAAACCCAGTACAAAGGCTGCAATTGGAGCGGAGTGACGATGTTGTCGCTCTTTGAGTCGCCCATTCGAAAAGATGAGAAGAGTTGCCAGCGGCAGTGAGAGTTTGTGTATGAATTCAGATACGAATGGGCCGGTGTGCCCTGAGTTGCGTGGGCCTTGGGCCTTGTAAGTAAGTGTGGGGCTCACCCGTCGGGCCCATGGGCCAGGAGTGTGTGTGGGACAGACCTGGCCAAACGGGCCGGCCCGGCCCGGCACGGCTCGGCCTGTGCTAATCGTGCCTGGCCCGGCACGGCCCGCCATGGCACGTTTAATAGCCGGGCCGTGTCGTGCCGGCCTACGGGCGCTGCTCCTTGGCCCAGGCACGGCCTGATTAGTAAACGGGCCGGCCCGATGGCCCGTTTAGCACGCTGGGCTGCACATTTTTAGCCTGTTGGGCTGGTTTTTAGGCCTATTGGGCTATATTTTAGGTATATATATATATATATAAATCTGAAAAAATATAAAAAAAATTAAAAGGGCCGTGCCGTGCCGGCCCGCGTGCCCCGGCTCCAGGTCCAGGCACGGCCCAAGGCGTGCCACGTGCCTGGCACGGCCCATTTAGCCCGTGCCGTGCCAGCGTGCTCGCGGGCTGGCCCGTTTGGCCAGCTATAGTGTGGGATACAAGTCGAACCACTGCGCTGATGCGGGGTATCCAAGAAATGGGATCAGTCCTCCCCTGCCTTCATCTCTCCTCTCCTTCCCTGCGACTGCGACCTCGATTTTGAATTCTCTCTTCCATCCTCAATTCTCCACGAAACCCTAGCCTCCGCCGACCTCCGCCACCGCCGGCCAGACCGGCGCCGCGACCAGCCGCCGAGAAGCCGCCCGTCCAGGCACAGATCGAGCCCCCCGCCTCCCCGCCGAGCGCCGCACGAGCCCACCGCGCACCGCCGCGGGAGCCAGGGAGCGCCGTCCCCGGTCGCCGCCTAGACTCTCAAACCTGAGGTACCGATTTCAGATCCCCCCGCCGGCTGGGTTGGGTTGGCCCGGTTCGTGCGCCTTGGTCTCCCGCGCGCAAGATTTCGTTAGGGTTTACTCATGGCTGGGATCAGGCGCCCGCCCGTGGATTTCCTGATCTGTATGCTGTAATTTCACCTCGATCGCGTCGTACGCTTGTCCTTGCAAATTTGTTTTCCTCGCGTCGTCTGATCTGGCCGCGGTTTGCTTGGTTCGAGTTGGTTGCTCTCAACCAAACACCCGAGACCTGATCTTCCACGGATCTCTTCGTTGGAATGCTTCCGTACACGCGGTTGGGTTGGATTAGCTTAGCTGCCGCACGTCTTGTGAATGTGTCACTAGTATTGCTTTGTCCCAGCATTTTCCCGAGTTAAGTTATCTGACGACCTAAGCTGTATGCATTGCTTGTGGAAGACCATCTCTGAATGCTGAGACCACGTTTAGCCCAATGTATATGATACAGTTGCATTGCACCTGTTACTTCTAATCTGCCATTAATTTAAATATGCTTACAAGGGGCTAGTCATACCTAGTATTTCTCAGACTAGGCTAAGTCTGATCTGGTTGGTATGCTCTTACTCTCAGCTAGCAGCCTGTTCCATTTGACTCATTTTAATTGGTACTGCATATATGGCAATTCAGACCTGGCATAAGTTACACTTGGCAAGAGTATCTTGCACAATTTCTGTCTTCGTGTTACTGTTCATTTCTAAATCTGGTCTCAGTCTCAGGCATGGTTTATAGTCTCATGTATATTGTATATACATCTCTGTGGAGCTTAATTTGATCCTAAATAAAAGATGCTTGGACATTGGTGGAACTTTATTTAATGCTCTTGTTCTCCTGTTTACCAGCTTCAGCTCTAGTTAATTTGGTCTATTATTATCCCAGAAGCTGCAATGACGGAGATCAAGCTGCCGAATATCCAGAAAGTGAGTAGCAACTTCCTTCCTGTGCTAAATTGTAGGATGTACTTCCTGTTTCAGGTTTAGCTGTTCTCTCACACAGGTGCTATATAATAACTCATGCATTATGATGTGTCTAGGTTACATCAAGTGATCACTGGAGTTTGGCCAGCAACCAGTATCCATCTGGTAAATTTCCTAAGGTATCAATTGGCATCCCTCCTCCAAGGTCAGATTCTGTATCAAGAAGCAGAGATGTTGCTGCTGCTGCTGCCCCTGCATTCGAGAGGAACCTGTCTCAGAGAACTGATGGAAGATCTAGACCCCCGAAAGCGAATAATGCTTCACTCCGGGTCTCACAAGAAGCTGCAAACCATGGTGGATCTGCTGCACAGGCACCTGAAGCCACCCATGTTAGGGTTTCTCTAACACAACCTGATGACCATGCACGTGAGCAAACCGGAACCTTTTCCTTTGGAACAAGAAAAGAACAAGGCAGCCAGCTTGACCAACTGCAAAAGGCACCCTTCGTGAATTCACAAGGAAAGCGCCAAATGGAATCTGCAGATAACACCAAGTCCAACAGCGAAGTGCTCAGGATGAAGCTGCGGGGGATCCTTGGTACATCACAAACCAAACAGGCTGTTGCACCAAACCCTGAAGACATTGAGACACCGGACCAACCGAAAAGTCTAACAACCAATGGACCATCTTCAGGGATCAAGAAGGTTTACACGTCACGTTTTCCTGATATTATCAAGACACCTGATCTGCTCAACTGTCAAACAGGTACCTATGCAAAGAGCAAACCATCCTCTGATCCAATTGAGTCAGATTCTGATACTCCACAAGTAGTTGAAATGAGGCCTGTTACTCGCACCTTGGGTCGCAAGAAAGCACCAGCAGCCTCCAAGAAGCAGGATAAGAACCAGAGTGCAAAGAAACCATTGTCTACTTCACGTTCTGCACCCAAACAGAAAACGCAGGACAATGTCTTTGTTTTTGATGAGAAATGCACACCCAAAACCGTGGGGAAATCTGCAAATGGTAACTCTGGCTGCTTGAGAAATCTTAGAAGCTCAAATAGGAAGGCTAAAGTAGAGCTTAAGAAGGTCCATTGTTCTGACAAGATTTCTGACAAGATCACACAGGATGCTAGGGAAGGACAGCTATCTTCTAGAAATGCAGCATCAGAGAATAAGGGAGAGAAAACCACCTCCTTTTCTTCATTGTCCCGAGCTGGAAAAACTGCTGAGAGCCGTTCTAGAAGCCCTACAAGGGAGAAACGGCTGAATGGAATGGCTAAAGTTGGGCTTCAGAAGATGCAGTTGTCAGAGAAGTTGCTGCCCACGACACTGAATGTGGGTGAAGATAAGCTCTCTTCGCAGAATATTTCATCAAAGAGCAAGGAAAATTATTCTTCATTGCTGCACCGGAAGGAGAATTCTAATTTGAGCAAAGCTTCAGACAGAAGCCCTCAGGCACATAAACCAGCGGGAAATACTTTTAACTTGCCACCATCTGGCGCTGCTAGTCCATCACCTGAACCGAAAATGTATCCATGGGGCAACGAGGCAAGTCCCCAGATAAATGGTAAACCATCTGGCACTGCTAGTCCATCACCTGAACCGAAAATGTACCCATGGGACAATGAGGCAAGTCCCCAGATAAATGGCAAACCATCTGGCGCTGCTAGTCCGTCACCTGAAGCGAAAAAGTACCCATGGGAGAACGAGGCAAGCCCCCAGATAAATGGTAAACTGGGAGAGAAGTTTGCCAGTCCATTGGCAGACAGATTCAGAAACATGGGAGATGATTTTGCAAGTCCTACTTTTGCAACTAATGTAAATGGCTACCACACTAGAAGTAAAGTGCTACATGATGACACATACAGCCCCAAGTATCCAAAAAGTGTGAACAGGTCAAGATCAAGTTCCTTTGCTTCTGATCCAGGGTCTGAGCCATCGGTAGGCTTTCCACATCTATGAATCATTTCACAGCCATAGTAAACTTGTTTTGTCTATACTCATGTAACAGACTAACTCATATCTTTTGTCACTCATTCATGTACCGCTGATATCCAGGACGAGATGGATAAAACCTATGATTTACCTAAAAGTGAATCTCCTAATTCTTCAGAAGAAAGGGAGAACAAAAAACAACCAGATCTTTCACCCATTTCGCCAACTGAAGATGAAATGGCTCAAACTTCTATTCCAAGTTTTGGGAAAGGTCAGAATATCAACTTTGCAACTTTCAATACACATTGATACTTTATACAGGCAAAACAATAGCTTCCTAGAGTATGTTTTGTTCCTTTCAGATTTATTGCCACATTTGTAGAACTGAAGGTGACAGTGTTAGTTTACAGAGTACTACACATTTTGGTCTGCACGAGGACAGTACTCATGTAGAACACATTCTTCTCTATGTATTTACATATATAAATTGATTGTTTCTCTATGTGTCCATTACCAGTTAAACACTATTGGCAGAGCTTCTGCCCTTTTCCTGAACAAATATTTAAACATTGGGGGTCAGAGCATCCAGTAGCAAAGTAAAAAACAAGAGTTAGGCGTTAATTGTGCATTTTGCCACCGCCTTGCGCTTTTCTAACCAAAGTGTACGCTTAAGCGCAATTATGCGCTAAGCGTTTTGCTATCGCATAGAGCCTAGGCGCGCCTTTTTTTAACTATGTCCAATAGTCCTACTATTGCATCAGTTCTATTTCCACAGAATTTTCATAGCAATCATTGATCAATCACTATCAGTGCCAGACCCTCCAATAATCCTACTGTGGCTTTAAGGTTAGGGCTCTCCAAAGTACTGCCATGATTGCTGGTATGCTAAGATGATACACTCACTCTTAACTATTGTATGTAGTGCTTGCTCATGAGAAGCTATTCCAATGGAATAGAAGCAACATGTGGCATATTCTGTCATGTGCATGCATGCTACTTTAAATGCGTTTCATTAGTGTGTTTTGCTAAGTAATTTGAGTTTTGTATTTTGACCACTTTAGTTCTGGAAAATTAATAACGCAAGCCAAGCTTTTCCCTCGTGCCGTTGGAGATGTATAAATTACATTGTCATATATCCAAAACTTGTTTACCTGTGATGTGTTACTTATTTGTAACTGGTTCTCCATGTGCAGGATATAAAACTCGCAAATGGCTTTCAGATGTAGACAGCCCTGATAAATCTCTAGAAAATCTGGATAGGAAATCACATCTAAAAGAGGGTAAAAGAGGCAAACGGCGCTTACCTTCGCCTGTTCCTTTTGCCACTTCTGGTAAAGTTGATTACCTTGCGTTGATTTAACAGTAGCAGTTCAGAACTAATATGTCATTACTAATTCATTCAGGAACACAAGAAACTATAATGTCAGACAAAGAACCAGTGCAATGCCCAGATGACTACCTAAACAGGTCCGCTTTAGGTTCTATAAAGAAATACAAATCTGATATTGTTGGTTGGTCCAATTTCATTTCTTGATTGTAACCAGGGCTTTTGATGAGTTACTGCTGGTGCTGGGAAGGTTTCAAACCAAGATCAAGTCCGAAACAAGAAATAGAAGTTCTGAGATACTGGTAGGTACTGGAGAGATAATTCGCCAGCACCTCGAGGGAGTTGAGGTGCAAATGCAGGATGATGTGTAAGATCTTTGCTGGTGTTACCAAACAAACTACATCTTATCTGCATATGCACATCTAATTCTATATATAGGCTTGTTATAGAAGTATCACATATATTAGAGGTGCAGCTATTTTTTGACGCATTCAACTGTACTTTCAGGGATAAGCTGGTCAATGCAGGAAAATCTAAAAGGAAGCGACTAAACTCAACATTTGAAGGTACAGTCTATATTGTGTCACTGCAGAAATTAATATTGTGAATCATGAGTTTTATGACAATGAGACCCATTTGTCAGAAACTGTTCAGAAAGCAATATCTATATAGATGTGATGTACTGGTTCTTTTGATCCATTGTGCTACTCATACTTCACCTATTTGGATTATTAAGCTCAAGCAATTTGCAGACTCTTCTACTTCAATAAGCAGTAGAGTAGTAATATAGGCATATAGTTAATCATGATCAGATTCCTGTATGTTATGTAGGGGTCCGGCATATCCTAAACCTGAAGAAAACATAGTAAGATAAGTTATTG